AAAGTCACATATACAAATATACACACTGATCAAACAGATCAATAATATACTGTTATTTCACAGAAATTAATATAAATTGAAGTTTTAGTTTTAAACCAACAGCCAGAGTTATATATTCATTAACAGATAGTAGAGTATGGAGTTTGCTGGAGTTCAAATAAAGTTCAAATGACAACTCGTACTGCTGAGTCAATGCTATTATATCACATCTTCTGGAGGAGTGGTGTTGTCTTCATCATATTTGATGCACAGAAACATCCTGGAATTCACAAGGTTTGGTGAAGATTGATTTCTTGTTGTGAATGATTGTCATTATGATGATGATGAGGATGAAGCAGCCCACAGCTGCAGCGATGACAGAAACCTTAGATTTGTGACCTGCTGTTGTGTCTGGTCCTGATGCATTCATGATCTTGACTTTCGCTGTAAGGTACATTTAAAAATCTTTTATAGCATTGTTTAAATCAGAAACACAAATTCAGCCTGTCAGACTGCAGACAGTCAGATTCTCCACAATATGATTTTGCTGCTAAGAATCTGATGAAAACTAAATCTCTACACACGCAGACCAAATCTAAAATCTCTAAAATATCAAATATGATGAGATGTGACACAAGAAATCTTCATATAACTTAAACACTAAAATCATTTATTTCCAAGTGATTTAAAGTTATGAATAATGCTGAAGAGCAGTTTTCTGTTCTTGCTTTCTAAGTAACCTGAAGCAGCAATCAATAGTAATCAATAAAAAAATATAATACCTGTCTCGCCAGGAGCTCCAGTAACAGTTTCAGGTGTAGTGGGCCCTGTTAAGACATTTTAAACATAAATTAGATTTAACAGAAATGTGCAAAGATTTACTGAATAAAATATATATATATATTATTTACAGTACCTGCTATGTCCACAGTGAATTCTGTTGCTTTCATTCCACAGTTTGCTTGCGCAAAGAATCTGAATTTTTCTGTCATTGTTGTATGTGGAGTGTAGCTGCATGTGAAGCTGTTACTCTGATCACAGGAGTTCACTGGAGGCTCTTGTTTACAGATTGTTGAGTCTTTGAAGCTCTCAGGGTATCGAAACTTACACATCTGAATGGAACAATTAGGGCACTGCAGTGAGACGCTGCAGGTGAGATGTACTTCTTTCCCCACGAATCCAATCACATCATCACAGCTTACATTGAAACCTGGAAAATAACAATGTATATCATATAATACAGCAACTGAACAATAAAAAATATGTATTTTTTGACATCTCATGAAACTCTTGAACTTATCTGTGTAACATTGTTTTATGTAAAAAAAACAATGCACATTAATGGCCATTAAAAACATGTATCGCTTCCTGAACATAATGGATTTAACTTCCTATCGTGTAAACTATTCAAACAGTAAATCTGTATTTTGAATCAGACTAAGAGCACAAAGCACTTACACTGGGTATTTTTTAAGAATCTATGAAACGGATTTGACCATTTTTTTCCCCATTATCTTAGATTATTAGTCTCTCTTTTAAATTCTCACGCACATTCTAGGTGAAGATTATTCTCTTACTTTCATCAGCTTGACAGACAGCAGTAAAGGTCCAAACCAGAATGAACAGTTGCACAGCATTTACAGCATTCATGGTTGGGATTCTGCAAAATGGAATAAAAAAAAAAAATAACAGAAATTTGTATCAGAAATTAAACTTAACTTAGGACAAACAGGGCAGTATAGATCAGAGAGTATATAGACATTAAAGAGGAAGATTTACAGCAATATTTATTTCTACAATATATGACGCTTAAAAGTTTTTCAGTTGCAGGGTTTCACACACACACACACACACACACACAAATCATACTTTAATTTTGAAGCGTTGAAGGGATTATAAGTGTAAAATACATGCAAAACCACAAGATGTATTACAGTAAGTCACTGAAAGCACACAATAAAACACATCCGTTCATGACAGAAACTGAACATCGTTTCATTATTTTTTACTGTTTGAACGAAAAACGAATATAATTCTGTATGAAACACTGCAACACTAATCAGAGGAAACCAGTTTTAAAAGTTTTCTATAGTCGGTATTTTGAAATATCTGCTAAATGTGTAATAAATGTATTTGAAGATGTTCCTGTAGTTGCTTATGAATTAGTAAATATGAAGGGAATTATTGCTCACCTGCGGTCTGTGTGTCCTCACCGTCTGAGTTTATTCCACTCTGACTCTCTCTGCTGCACACACGAGCCTTTCAACAGAGGCTAAAGACTTTCACTTTCAACATGACTCACAGTGATTTATGTTGTTGTAACATTTTTGACCAGACGTTGGTGCTGTTACCAACCTGAAAATGTCCCCTACATTCCTTAAAATATTACATAGATGCTACCCTTGTAATAGTGTACTTAATAAGTATATGCAAAATATTGAAGAAAAAAAGTAGGTTCTGTGATATAAAAGAGACCATTGTACATCTTTTTTGTGAATGTGTTTGTGTGAATTTATTTTGGAATGAGTTATGTACCTCTCAGATAAAACAAATGTTAGAATATGTATCAACACTTTTGATATTATTTTCTTTTATCATAACTCTAACTTTTGGATTCAATATAGTGTTAATCTTTTTATTATACTTCGCACATTTTTTATTCATAAGTG